GCGGGCTGCGGGCTGCGGGCTGCGGGCTGCGGGCTGTTGGCCATGGGCTGTTGGCTGAGAGGGGCCTGCTCCGGGCTGCTACTCGGGCTGCTACTCGGGCTGCTGCTGTCCTGCTTGCCCGCCGCCGCCGCCACCGGCCAACGCCCTGCCTGCCCGCCTGCCCGTCTGCCCGTCTGCAAATCACCAGGCCCGGCTGCGTCGTCATCAGATCGGTGCCTGCGTATCGCCCAGCATCCCGCGCGCTTCCATCACGGCATGGCACACATGGCACAGCACAGCCTCCTGCTAACCGCCTGCCCTGAGCCTGCCCAAAGAGCCCAGCACCAAACGAGAAGGCGCTCAATGGGTCTCGCCGTGTTTCATTTATGAGCTCCACGCCCTCCTCCGCTATGTCCGTCCCCTCTGCTCTGCGCCATACGTATGTGCTACCACGACAGCTCCGTCGCTGTGCGTGTGCGTGTGCCTTGCCTTGCCTCGCCTCATACCAATCCCATATCCATACATACCGCCGCTGCCACTCGTGCCCTACGCCGCATGGTTGGCTGCCCGGCCCGTTTCGTGCTAAGTATACACTTGGTGATTTCCACCTCCCCCTCGCCTTCAGGGTTGGCCCCTCTGCTGCAAACTCTGCTGCCCTCCAAGTACTTAGCAACCCGCGCGCCAGACGGGGGAAAAAAGGTTGCAGCAGACATGGCTCAGCGCCCAGCGCGCAAGAGGCCTGTTCTCTGCCTCGGCTAGCCTGCGCCATTCCACTTGGGGGGGTGCACACATGGTATGCTGAGCGACTGTAGCTTCTGTCCAATCACAGACGAGCGCGCGCCGCCTCTACATGCCACGGCTAGCCAAAAGCCTCGTCGTTAAGCGCGGCCGTTTGTCGGGCACGTCGTCGTGTCTCGAGAGAATGTCCAAGTATCACCATGTATCTCCATGTACTTGCACGAATCCATTGTCTCCCATTGCCACCGCCCATGCCATGCCCTGCCCTGCCCTGCCCTGCACAAGAGAAAAAAAACCCACCACTCCGTCGCCGTGGTTCTCGCGGCGCGTTCCGTTCCCGCTAGCGATCAGACAAACAACGGGGATGGGGACAACTGCGCCGCACGGCATCGTCTCCTTTGCTGTGCAGCTTGAATTCCAATGCGCCGGATTCCCAAACAGGCTCGCTCCTTGCCTTGGATGCTCAGTCAGCACTTCGCCTTGCCCTCTCGTCTTTCCGTCCCATCCTTCCGCTCTGCCGTCTGACTCGAGTAGCGAACGGAAGCGCGGAACCCACACGCGCTTGTCGCCAACGTCCTCGTCCGCCGCCTTACGCCGCCACATGCCGACTGCGTCCCAGCCAAACCCGACCCTCCCCCAATCGCTTATGGAGCTTCTTCTTCCGTGTCCAACATGATGCACCCACACTTCCGAACATGCCATGCGGCACGCATTCGGCATACATGCATATTCACCTACATACTAAGTACTTACTTTAAACACAAAGGTTTGCCCTGCAACACTCTTCGGCCCGCTTCCAACCCTCCTTCGGCGCACGTCCACCAACTATACATTAGCAGAAAAGAAGCTCTGGCCAACAGCTCCCACTACCCGTGAGCCGACTTTTCTTCCTCATGCCGCCGCTGCCCACCACCAAGATTACGAGCAGGTTTGCACATCTGCCGTCACCGATAAACAACACGCTGTAGGATTCGCCCTCGGCAAAATATTGCGGCATTATCCAGACATGGTCCACATGCCGTGCAGCGTGCTATACTCGATTCGACCACTGCCCAACATCACACGCTCTCACGGCCAGACACAATCAACTGCTTGCCCAGAATTGTCAACATGACATGTGTACAACTCTCACGTCTTACCTACATTGAATGGCCCAATTCCCCCCTGGTCCGCACTGCACACCATACTTATTAGACGAGATGACAGTCATTGCTGTGGCGAAAACTCAAAATCCTTTGAACTTACTCTGGCGGTGTAGGGAGAACTGCCTCTTTCAAACATGACAGATTATACCAAGAGCATATTAGCAGCTTTCCATCCATTAATAGAGTTCGAAAAAACTCAGTTTCACGGTTGTAGTGGAAGAATTGGCAAGTATAGCTGCGCCGATACGCAATTGAGATACTGCAAAGTACATGGTAAAATGAGGTGCATATGCATAAGGCCGAAGTATGCCCTTGGCTTCTTACCTCGTCGAAACTATCCAAAAGTGGGTCCTTCTCCAAACGGACAGTACCTGCTGTGTACATGTCGTTGTCGTTGTCGAAACAACAGGAGCACATGTAAACAATGCTCCTTCCATAAACATGATGTGAGACAGCTTCAAAAATATTTTCCGACCCTTGACCAAAGCATGCCACGTTCAAGCCAAGGTACAGGCTCACCTGCATCCTCGCAACAAAACCCCTTAACAAGCCCACCTATTTATCACGTCTCCCTCATCTCCCCATCATACGTCGTCTACCTACGTAGCCATTCCAAACATCACCCCACACACCGTTTCACTTACGCGCCCTACCTATCCCACCTACCTACCCTTCCATGTAACCCTCCAGTACACATGCACACATCCCCCCATCTACACAAACAAGCCTCTAGTCCCCATTTGACACACGCCCCGGCGCTTAACAATCGTTCCATCTCTCCACACGCACAACGTTCATGCGTCGCTTCCCGGGGGAAAAAACTACTCCAAGAAAAACATACCATCACGATTCGTTCAACTCCGACAATCATGCCTTGAAGATGACCTAACAACGGACGTCGCAAAAGCCAAACCCCCCTTCGCACAAGGATATTTCGTTCTTACCACTTACACATCCCCGACCCATCCCCACTTCCCTCCCCGCCCCACTCTCTCATCCCTGCGCCCTCCCCCATCCCCTCTTCACACCAACACGCCTCGCACCTTGGAGTCGCCTCCCCAAGCGCGACCTGCGACTAACAACCACCCAAATAAAATTGGAGTAACCCCTTCTCTATCCTACCCTACCCGCTATCCGTTGGAGACAAGCAACACAGAAAATAAATGGATACGCGGCTATGACCACAGCAGATGAGAAAGGGAATTGCCCGCCGATATTTGCCCGATGGGAGTCGTGTGAGTCGGGTTGACAGGGGTGGTGGTGGTGGAAGAGACAGGGATACAAGGGTAGATGTAAGGCAAGAAAGGTAAAAGGCAGGGCAAGGTGGATCCTTGGGGAGATGGATAGTTCGTACGAGGCGAGGGGTGCGCGGGGATCAAGGAACGACGAGGGGGGGGAGGGGAGGGGTGGCCGGTGATCAAAGGATGAAGAGGATGGGGTGGGATGCTCAAGGTGGACATGGGGGGTTTTCCAACTACATCGCACGTGAGTTATGCAGTGTAAAAAAAAAAGAAGGGAAGAGAGAGAGAAAGAGAGAAGATCAAGAAGAATACTGCATTTGCGATTAACGATCCCACCATCTCTCTAATGCAAATGAAGAGAAGAAAGAAAAAAAACACCGAAATGCATGCTACCTACACACCTAAACTACTCTGTCCCATCTCCCTCCCTCCTTCACAGTACTATACAAAAAAAACCCTCCCTCTCAAGCAAGTCAACGACAAAACATCCATCATACCATTGCCCTTGCCCTCCAAAGTCACAGACGACAAAGATGGGAAGAATGAAGGAGAAGACGATAATACAAGGAGGAAAAAAAACATAAGAAAGAAAGAAAAGAAGAGGAAAGGAAAAAAGGACGATTCCCAACTACGATTCCAAATTTGGGGTATCTGAGGAAGAAAAGAAAACAATGCCGCGCTAAAGTAAAGTAGGTGTATGGGATAAGATGAGCCAATGAAATGGACCCTCCGCAAAAAAAACCCCCCAAGGGAGAAGAGAAAAAGATGATGATGATGATGAAGATAAAAAAAGGAGATGAAAAAGAAAGAGAGCAAAAAAAAATCCACCACATGGGTTCAAAGGAAAGAAGTTGATGAATCAGCTTCTTTCTTTTCCCCTCTCTGTCTCTCTCTGTGCCTCCAAAACGACCTGAACCATCGCAATCACCCCATGTCGCTTACTTTCCCTCCTTTTTTTAAACACTATCCCGCGCAGCTAACTGCCCCTCGTCGTCTGAACTTAATTCAGACCCCCCCCAATCTCTCTATCCCTCTCCTAACCCCCCTGCACATCCATTTCCTCCCACACTGCAGCAAGGTAAACCGGGTAATACACATCTTTCCTCCACTCCGGTATACCACCACCCCCAATCTAATCAACCTTCCAATGACTCGTCAACCTCCCATCATCATCCGCATTCGAAATCTTCAGCTCAATCGCATAAAGTCCCATTGTAATCCCAAGATTGATCCAGCGCCAGAAATTGCCTCCCGCGTCGCCGCCCTGGTTGGTCCACCACTCGCCCGTCACCGCACTGCCGTCGCTACCGTTTCCACTGGCAAAATGCTGCATGAGTAGACTCGTGTAGACGGCAATGATGATGCTGGGGCTGAACCACGTCAGGAAACCGAGAATCTTGGACGTTTCGTCGTCGTCGTCCAGGCTGGGTTCTTGCGAGAGAGCGCGGGCGCCGCTTTCGCGGATGGCGGGGATGATGCGAGCTGCGGCGTACATGACGAATACGCGGTAGGCCAGGGAGATGATGACTGAAGGGGTGATGGTCATGATGGCACCGACCATGAGGTTGAAGCCGGTATGGGCAATGGTGGGGAGAGAACCAAGAGCGTGGAGAAGCGTCGTGTATGAAGCCATGATGATCGGCGGTAGTGGGGGCAGAGCGGGCTCGGATGAGACGTTGGATTCACTCACGGAGCCCGGGGATGGCTGGTAGTCGGTAAAGATTTGGTAGATGCAGAGAGTGACATAGGCAAACTTTTGGGGGGGTTAGCAAGGACCAGCAGTATCAAGGGACCAGGACTCACCAAAAGCGAGGATTCAACCGGGTTACCTCGTGCGCTGACAATACCCCAGCCACCGAGGTAGCTGGCAGTCGTAATGGCGACGCCAATCAAAATAGCGTCCACATTGCTAATTTCGGGAAACGTGGTGATACGCCACAAAAAGTAGACAGAGGTTGAGATGATGGAGGCAGAGGTGATGAGAAGGCCAATCTACATTCATATTAGCAACACCTAGTACAATGCTGTGAAAAATCTTACCATCCAGCTGTCGCCACGCTCCCGGTTCACCACCCATCGTGTAATCTGCCCTGCAGCCTGAATAACCAACAGACTGCAGAAGCCCTCGGCTACCTGGAACACAGGCGTGCTGTATCTCAGCGTCTTGTCCCAGGCACCAATCGAGAAACTCTCGAGCAGACCTTCAGCCCCAAATATCCATTCGTGCACACTCTCAAAGTCGGCACGCTTGCCGCCAAAGGTACGCTCGACCCAGCCCGAGTTATTGTTGGCATCGATGGAAAACTTGTTGAGGCTCCAGATCAACAGCGTGGGTATGGCCAGCCATTGCGCCCAAGCGACGACGTTGCACAGGAACCAGCGGAAGCGAGACGTGTTTGGCGTAGCTAAGCGGAGAATCGAGTAGAGGAAGTAGTAGGCGCTGAGAGACAGGGAAAAGGCCAGGCCACATGTCCGGCCGCCAATGTCAAAGGCGAGGGGGATGGTGAATATGATGGCGCCGAGAAAGGTAGTGGACGAGACTACTCTCGTTGCTGTTGACCACATGTGCGGATGCCGTCGTCGCCAAGCTCGTGCAGCGACGAGCCCGGCGGGTGACGTGGGCGACGGCGGTCAAGGAATGAAGTCTGGCGGCGCAGCGGTCGCGCAGGGCCGCGGGGAGAAGCTCAAGGGATCAGGCGTGGTCGAGGTTGGGGCGGGCGGTGGGTTGGCCTGATGGTGACTATCGACTATCTTCACGTGTCAATTTCGCTAAGTGCTCGAGCTTTGCGGGCGGCTGATGCTGACTGGCCGTCACACAGACAAGAGAAGGCAGCCCTCGCCGGAAAACCAGGGGAGTGGACGAGACGCTCGGAGACGGATCTGTGCAAGCGAGCAGATGAGGAGGCGCTGGACGTTGTAGTATGTACGGGTGTGTGTATGTATTGATGGGATTGTTGCGTGCTCGCGTGCGCAATCTGGGAATCACGCCAGTGTGACGAAGCCACGGCACGAGTTTAGGCGGTGCCGTATGTCTTTTTTTCTAGCCTCCTTTCTCGCTGCCGGCGGTCAGTCTCGCTGCCGATGTCTGTCTTGTGTCTGTTGTGGTTGTTGTTGCGCATAGCTTTTTTTGATGCCGACATGGGTTTGCTAGGTCCAGCCTGGCACCCCACTAGTGCCCGGAGAGAAGAAAAGTGCCAAGCCTGTGCCCGCTGCGGGACCACCCATCTCACCCTATGCCTGCCCCCAAAAGTCTCTACCCGCCACCACTACAGCTTATCAATTGCTTGAACCAATTCTGTCATACATCCCCAAGAACTGCTAGGAAATCTCGCATTGTATATCGCCCGTTAAAACAACCCAAACACGCTCTATACACCCGAACAATGGCTTCCGAAAACCCCACCAAGAGAATCAAGACAGATGCGCCTTTGATCGGAACGCACAATGGCCACTTCCACGCCGACGAAGCCCTCGCCGTATCCATGCTGCAGTTGCTTCCTGCCTACCGCGACTCGCAGCTTGTCCGCACCCGTGACCCTGCCGTTCTGGCTGAGTGCCACACGGTGGTGGACGTGGGCGGCGAGTACGACGACAACACCAGGCGCTACGACCACCACCAGCGCGGCTTCGACGTCGTGTTCCCCGGCCACAAGACCAAGCTGTCCTCGGCAGGACTTGTGTACATGCACTTTGGCAAGGACATCATCACTGCCGTCACTGGACTGCAGGGTCCTGATCGCGACCTGCTGTATGAGAAAATCTACAACGACTTCATCGAGGCCTTTGACGCCAACGACAATGGCATCAATGTCATTGCCCCCACGGACCTTGAGAAGGCGGGGCTCGAGAAGAAGTTTGAGGACCGTGGCTTCAGCATTGCCAGTGTTGTGAACCGCTACAACTATGGCCCCAAGTCGCCTCTCTCCGACGAGACCAAGACACCAGAGGCCAAGCAGGTCGAGGAGGACAGCCGCTTCATGACGGCTTCTCGCTTTGTCGGCGAGCAGTTCCGCTACGAGCTCATTGACCGCGCCAATTCGTGGCTCCCTGCCCGCCATCAGGTCAAACAAGCCTACGACAGCCGTCTCAAGTACGATGCGCAGGGACGCATCTTGGTGCTTCCCGAAGGCATGCCCTGGGCTGACCATCTGTACACGCTGGAGAAGGAGACGCCGCAGCCCGAGGGTGTTGCTCCTCAGGTCCTCTATGTGCTCTTCCCCGAAGACAAGCCAGAGGGCAAGTGGCGCATTCGTGCTGTGAGCAAGGAGAACGGCGGCTTCGAGAACCGCAAGGACCTTCCAGACGCATGGAAGGGCGTCCGAGACGAGCAATTGGACCAGGTATCAGGCATCCCTGGCTGCGTCTTCGTCCACGCCGCCGGCTTCATCGGAGGCAACAAGACGTTTGACGGTGCCTTGGCAATGGCACAGAAGGCACTGGAGTTGTAAGAGGGGCTGGCATGCGGGGTTGAATTGAGGGGCTGAACGGAGGGGTTTTTGGATAAGCAACAATAGTTGCTTCTACTACTTTGCATAGCATCGTCTGGCGTTCTGGCGCTTCATATCAAAAGTTATGATACCAACCATGTATATAGAGTAGCATGGTAGATAGAATTACGAAAATGTCGTGATTACACCGTCATCGATGGTGAGTATATGCCTTTTCCACCTGCTGCATATGGCCTGTCGCGTGATGACTCTTGCTGGTAATTATGAGGCTGTATATCTCCTTCTAGTCCTTCCAAGCGCCAGGAACCCCACGCCCTGCGTCGCGCTCTCCCGACGGCTTCACCAACTGCAGGCGTGTGATTGGCTGCAGGACGTCATCCGGAGAGAGTCGGGCTGGATTGGCCACAGAGGCACACGACTCAGCCGGCCCATTGCTAGCGGCTTTCATGTGATAGGCTCAAATGGGTATGGTGGCGAAGATTCTGCCCATCTGCCGGAGACTTGCGCGGATAGAAGGGTCTCGGTAATCCCAGTCGCATCTTTTTTAACTCTGGACAAATCATACTACTATATTGTCTTTGTTTTGCTTGCCAGCGCACAGTTTCTCCATCTACTTGCACCGCATCTCACCAAGCCCCCGCAAACGCGCAATCTGCAATCAAGTCGAGCGCTCGAGCGGTGAAAAACGTTGAGCTCACATCCCGTCCGCCCCCCGTCGATCGTTTATCGCGCACGGCTTGCTGGCTGGCTTTACCGAGCTTCCCAGACCTTTTCCACCCCTTCACGTCTTCCAGCCCACCATAAACCCACTTCAAAGCCCACACCAATCCCATCGCGGCTTATCAATTTTACATCACCAGACCTCGCGCATTTCAAGAATTTGCGCCCAACACCACCGCGCATATATACACAGCTACCGAGCTCACCATCGGCACACGACCACACGATGAAGTACTTTCAGCAGACGATTGACTTTGACTACTCGTGGGAGGAGGTCTCGACAAGCAACTGGCGGAAATATGGCCCTTGGAACGAGAAGACGCCGCACGTCATCGCCGTCGACACCATCAGCCGCTCCGTAGACCCAGCGACAGGAATTGTAAGTGACTCCTTTCATGTGCCGGAAGCACAGCGGCTCTCCATCGCGAGGCGGGGCACGTGCGGAATCATCATTGAGAGCACTCGGCTAACACGCGATAGCTACGAACTGAACGCCTCATCACTTGCCAACAGTCGACACCAAAATGGATACAGTCCCTCCTTGGCGGCCAAGACACGTCCATGGTTTATGAAACCTCATACGTCGACCCTGTCGCGAAGAAGCTCACCCTCTGCTCCATGAACATGACCTGGTCCGATCTTCTCAATGTACGCGAAACCTGCATCTACCGACCCGCTGCTTCATCGCCCGACGCCAAAACCTCCTTTACCCAAAGAGCTGAGATTACCGCGCTCTGCGGTGGCTGGCAGAAGATCAAGAACAGCATCGAGCAGTTTACTGTCGAGCGCTTCCAGCAAAACGCCGCAAAGGGCAAGGAGGGCTTCGAGATGGTCCTCGAGAGGGCTCGCCAGGTCTTCCAAGAGCAGAGGGAAATCCTCAAGCTCCAGCAAGCGCAGCAGGACAGCCAGATTTTGAGACACGCAAAGATTTGAATGCGCGTCAAACACTAGACTCCCTTGGTCAATGCGCCGACTCGCAAGTGCTGCGAGTCGATGCGCTATTGTTGACTCACCTCCCGACTCTCTAGTCACCCCCCACCACCAGCATCCAACTGTGCCTATCCAGTTGTAGATTCGGCACTCTCAACTCACTTCACGTCTTTCCTTTATCTACTGTGTTTCAGCGTTCATGTTATCTAGACGCAAGGGTTTTGAATTATTCTTTTAAAAGGTCGATTTAGACTAAAACGGCGTTATGAAACCAAAAGCATTAGGAAGAGAGGCGAAGATACCCTTTCCGTCATGCTTTTGAAGAGAGCATTAGACGCCTTGAGCAATTTTATACACGATAGATACGGTTCGAATATACAATAGTATCAGATTTTGCTTTTTCTGAACTGACTCGTGGATCTCTTTTCTCCACAGAGTATCGTGACGCTGCGCTTTGTTCTTCATTATTTGCACGCCAGAAGAATCAAGAATCAAGTATGAGGTGAGTGTGCCGAGCGTCATGCCCCCCGCCATCCCGACTCTCTCTCCATGTTTTTCGCCTCATCCCTGACTCATCCTTGCAAATCCATGTGGAAAATCTTACCCCACAAAGGATGTACCGATGCGCACAACGTGACGATATATTATTTGATACAGTAATCTCGACATCATCATCATCATCACTACTACCACCCTACTAAACTGATCTAAGCAATGATGGCATCCCACTACGCGCATGACGTTTAGTGGGGGTCCTGTCCTGTCCCCCACGTGTTCTACATGTTTGAAGCTTCTACCCCGCGGGACACGCCTCAATATGTACTCTGCTCTACATATGCACGTTGCACGTGAAGTAAGGGACATAACTACTACCCATCTGCGATTTTCGAATCAAGGATGCGAAGAAAAGAAGCTTCTCCGTATCAAGATGAAACTAGAGACGGCTAGAAAACTACCAAGACACTAGTAATAAGAAAGGGTTGAGGAGACTACAGGTGTTAGACAGGCCCGCCGTCTTGCTGCACGCCATGCTCAGTCTATTGGAACTAGTACGGTGCGCGAAACTGGAATGAGATTGGGAGTTGTACCAGATGACACTTTTTGAAAAGAAACAAGACGCTGGCTAAAGAACAGTGAGATGCAAAGTCTCTCTCTCTCTCTGTGTGTATGTGCGATGCGAGTTTTGATGTTCAGAAGGCGGAAGGGGGGAGGGGAGGGGGTGTAGAAAGATCAGATAAACAAGTCTGACTCGTGTATAGTTAGACCCTGACAGGAAACATTGTGCCAAAAATAGCCCCCTTCTCTATTTTACGTATCGCAAGAACAACAACAAACAAGAAGAAGAAGAAGGAAAGAAGACTGTCCAACTTTTGTCACGCCCTCTCTCTCCCTTCTCCAAGTAAAATGCACACCAAGAGAGAGAGAGAGAAGAGAAGAGAAGAGAAGAAGAAAAATGTCCGGGGCGCTTGCACTCGCGCAACCCACTCCCGACACACCGTGTGATCTCTCTTCCTTTCCTCCCTTAACAGCCGGGGGAGGGAGGGGTGGGCGCGTGCACCCGCAAGCTCATCAAACGACCAGCCCCTCTGAACCGTGGAATCACGACTGCAATCCACGCTTTTTGTGCATATTTGCCGGAAACAGCAGGTTGCGGTGGGGAAGTGTCTCGGATTGTTTGATGTTTGTGTGTGTTTTGCGCGCCTACAGGACCAGGGGGGTGTGTGTGAGCAAGGTGAAGGCAGTGTGTTTGTGTGGTAGCGAAGGGGCCGTCGGTTTGGGTTGGTTGGTCGGTTGGTTGGTTGGGTCGCCTTTTTTTGGGAGGGTTAGTTTTGCGAAGGGGAGGCTATTGATTTTGGGGGTTGGTGGAGATTAAAGGGTGGTGAGTTGGCGAGGACGGAGGGGAGAAAGGGGGAGGGGGGGATTCTGGGATTCGTGAATTATCGGGTTTCCTATAGACTAGGTATGGTGTTTGTAATGTGCTGTATGTAGAGTAATGACTATGTAGAAGGTACACAGGCTGGTGAATACCTTACTACGTGCGGGGTTTGCTCGGGCCGACTTCGCTGCGCCTATACTAGGCCCATCCAATAACTTCATCTGTGGAACTATCCAATGGCAAATCTGAATGTGCAAGCGTTGAACGATACTTTTATGAACCAAAAAACGGCATAGCTTGAATCAAAACCCAAAGTCACGAGCTCAACCATGGCCACCCTTGAACAAAACATCCGCCAGGCGCTAGAAACCCTCCTACCTCGGATCCAAAAGCAACATGCAGAATCCCCAGACACACCCATCATCCTCGGTATAACCGGTCTCCAAGGCTCAGGAAAATCAACATGGGCATCTACACTCGTAAAACTCCTATCCGAAGAATACGGACTCTACAGCATCACCGTCTCCCTCGACGACTTCTACAAGACCCATGACGAACTCGTCTTGCGCAGAAACCAAGATTCAGCCAACAAACTCTACCGTACGCGCGGCCAGCCCGGGACCCACGATGAGACACTCGCCCAATCCTTCTTCCAGCAACTAAAAACCTGGAGCGCCACCACCACCACAACAACAGACGGCAGTTCTAGTACCGCGGCCCTCGCCATCCCCTCCTTCGACAAATCCCGCTTCAACGGCGAAGGCGACCGCGCCCCAGAACACACTTGGCCACGCATAACCCGCGCCCCCGCCATCGTCATCTTCGAAGGCTGGTGCCTCGGCTTCACGCCCGTCTCCCCTTCCTTCATCCAGGACAAACACGACCTCGCTCTCCAAGGTAAACTGCCCGTCAACACCCCTGCTTCACACCAAGTCAGTCATCTGCTAGAAGTAAACGAGTGTCTGAAACGCTACTGCGATACCTTCATGGGACCCCAGCATTTTGATTTCTTTATTCATATTGACACGCAGGATCTGAGGAATGTGTATAAGTGGCGGTTGGAGCAGGAGCGCAAGTTGATTGAGAAAAAGGGCGAGGGGATGGGTGATGAGCAGGTTAAGCAGTTTATCGATGGGTATATGCCTAGTTATGAGATTTATCTGGAAAAGCTGAGGGAAGGGTTGTTTGCCGAGAAGGGGAGGATGGTGAGGGTTGTGTTGGATGAAGGGAGGGGGGTTGAGAGGGTAGAGGTGCTTTAAAAGTCGACATGCACAGTCGTCTGAGGCCCTTGGTAGAAAGGTTTCTGATCACGCTTTGGGGGAGGCTGGTTGGATTCAAAAAGATGATTAGAGTGTTATAGAGTGCGACCCTTGAGTCTGATCTGATTCCCATTTCTTTTTTTTCTTGACTCCAACGAGAAGAAAGCGTTATGACCCCCTGATATCCCAAAAACACGTCACCTGTAACTTCCCTACACCAACACACTTGGTATTCCGGCACCGAAACTGCGTGTGATCGCGCAAACTATTTAGATCGATGTCGCCCTGGCAGTACATGCACGGCCATTTCTCTAAAAACGCGCAGTTTTGGCGTGCTTGCTTGATGCTGTCTCTATCTCACGGTATCAGCGTTAGATTCGTCGTGGCTGCTGAGTGTGACGTGGAGGCGAGCATAGATATATGCAGTATGTGATTTGGTGGCTCGGGGAGATGTAGCAGGACGTACTTCCAGGACTGGATGCTCGATCGTGTAAGGGTGTGCGATACGGGGGTGTGGGTGTAGTTGGAGGTGGACATGTTTGTCATGTCTTCTTTGTACTTGGATTTAGACATGGATGAAGCGAAGTAGGAAGAGAAGGTGTGTGTGAGGATGCTGCTCCTGCAGCTCCTCTGGATAGAATGCCGCTGCCCCCCTACGGAGTAAGAGAAGTGTGATTGGTTTCGCTGCTGGGACCCTTTGGAATCCCTGAGTATGATGTTCCAATCGAATGCGTAGTATTAGAGGGTCAGGGTCGGTCTTGGGACAGCAGGCGCAAACAAGGGAATGTAGTGGTAACAATGCGATTGCCCATTTTTGCATAGGGCTAATTTCGTTTGATTCCCTTTCTGAAAATTGCTCATCTCTTTCACCTGTTTGTGTGCAGTGTGAGTTTAGAGTCAAGGCGAACAATGACATGTACTCTTTCTCAGCCTCGTTCTAACCGTTATCCGCAGCGGCCCTAACTACACTACTAAGCGATCAGCACCGCTAGCTGCTCATGTAATCTTCTCAGCCGCAATCTATATCATTGCGAGAAATGACAAAACTGCCTCGGCGAAGCTGACAGTAATATATTAAAATTGCCCCACGAGATCGTAATGCGGCTGAGTACCTGCGGCTGAAGATTGTTGTGACACCAAAGATCTACGCACCTCTACCACAACCTTGTTACCTATCAAGCCATGACCACGTTGCACAACCCCCCAGCCAACGGCGCAACAGCATCCGCCGTCAAACCACCATTCTTCGATGTCAACGACCCCAAGCCTGTTCGTTATGGCGTATTGCTCTTCCCAGGCTTCCAGGCGCTCGACGTCTTCGGCCCACTCGACGTCTTCAACTCACTCGCCATGCTCTACAGTTTCCCCACGAAACTAACCATGCTTGCCAAAACATCCGATCCGGTCGAAACATCGCATCAAAGAGCCGGCAACACCATGTTTTCGCACCCGGAGACGGACGTCTCACAAAGCATGATTGTGAACCGGACGTTTGCGCAGCAGCTCGAGTTGCAAGAGGGGGCTGCAGCTGAGGCCATTGACGTTCTGATTGTACCTGGGGGAATAGGAACCCGTGGCGACATGAGCACCGAGATTGATTTCGTAAAGCAGGTCTATCCTAGTTTGAAAGCGGTCTTGTGCGTGTGTACTGGGGCGACTATCTTGGCGCGCGCAGGCATTCTGGATGGTCGCAGAGCTACTACTAACAAACGCGCGTTTGCGTGGGCAACGAGCACGGGACCGGACGTGAAATGGGTTCCGGAGGCGCGGTGGGTTGTAGATGGTAACATTGTGACTGGGTCTGGGATTAGTGCCGGCATCGATGCTACGTATGCTTTCGTAGCGTTGAACTATGGCGAGACGATTGCTCAGGAATTGGCGGATTGCGCGGAATATGTGCGTTGGATGGATCAGGATCATGATCCTTTTGCGAAGAGGTGGAATGCTGGTGCTTCTTGAGGTTTTCTGCAGCGCCAAAAAGGTCTTGCAGGTTAGATATAGAGGAGCTGGGACATATCCAACAAGCTCAAGTGTCTAGTCTGGTGAGTGTTTACAGTTCGTCCAGCTGCCCTCCATCTTTTGCTGCGTTGTTACGTATAACAATCACCCGCTCTTTCACTTGTATCATAACAGCAAATAAGACTCATTTTCACTTTCACTCCATAGCTTGTTGCCTCATATGGTGCTCAATTCTCCGTCGTTTTACCAACCGCCATTCTACTACTTGTTTTTCTTCTTCTCAACTCAACAAAACTGCCGTATTTAGCATCTATGTCTAATTTATCCAACCAGCAAGCTCCTCCACCAGCGCCAGACCCTAGGAACGCCGATCCACTCCTGGCGGTCCTCCGACAAGAGCTTGGTCTCAACTGGGAATTATACAAAGAGTTCTTGATGAGTATCAAAGCCGCAATCCTCGTCGGCGACAATGCCGCCCCACTGATCAACCAGATGGGACCTTTGATACAGAATCGAGCTTGCCACGTCGCTCACCAGGGTGTGTTATTCTTACTGAAAGATTTGGAAATGAAATGCCGCGCCACAGGTAAGACGACTGAAGTCTCCCATTCACCTCCACTTGGCCCAAACTGGTCATCTATGCCACCTCCAGTCGCAAACATGGTACCGCGTCTACATCCGCCATCAAGAACGTCCGTAGACCGAGTTGTACGCAACTATTCTAGCCAAAACGCCTCAGCGCCCCGGGCACGCCCAGCTCCCGCTCCTGTTCCCAACCGACCTAGATCCAACGTCGCGACCGCCACTCGACATCATCCACACAGTCAGCAAGCTCCACAGTCAACTCCTAGTCACGGCATTGTAATGTTCATTGATCCAAACTTCAAACGCGACGTCCAAGATTTCTTTGGTCTTCCTGGCCGTCCCCGACTCACTGCTATCTCGTACCACGAATTTGACTCTGTACCGCACTATGAGCCTGGTATCGATGATCTTGCTTTGTGGAGGAAGAAGGTAGAAGCAGAGATAGAGGATGTCATGTAGTGGTGTATTTGATGACGCTGCGTGGACGGAAAGTGTATAGGAAGAAGTATGCTAGTAGGCGGGTTTAGAGAAGCCTAGCTTTAGCCCGACAGGTTGGAAAGACCAGATGCACGGGCATCCGAATTCCCATTTTTATCTAATATGATATAAGCTTTCTTAGAACATCAAAGGTACACCGAGTCTTCGATGTCACCCAGAAGTGGATATCACAGCTCTCCATTTTCTAATACCGTAGCTGTTACTTAGTGCAATTGGAACGCGTCCATCTTTTCTATAGTCTAATAAGTCGAAGTAGATGAGTATCGCTGGGGTGACCAAGACAGATCAAAAAGCAGGCTGTATGCACCGCCAAATCTTGACAACAACAACAGACAACGGGCCATAGCCTGCCCTACTATATAAGGCCAGAGTCACTATACACCCTCTCAAAGGTTCGACACAACCCTCTTCACCACCTCATCCAGATCCTGCTCTTCCAGCCCAAGCAGCTCATTCGCAAACCCCTCCCTCTCCTTCCAATCCGAAGCAACAACCCCCCAAACCGCCACAACCTCCTCCCTCGCCTCCATATCCCCCTCCAACATCTTCGGCCTACAAACCTCCAACTCCTCCTCACTCTTCTGCTCCACCCGCTCAAACTTCTCTCCCGTCGCCTTCTCCAGCGCCTCCAGTACCTCCAACTGCGTCACACGGAGACTATGCACATACAGCAACTTATTCTTCGTCTGCTCCTCCTTCTCCAACACCCTTACCACCGCCTTTCCTATAAAATCGACATTAGATGCGGAAAACTTGATGTTGCCGCCATCAAGCAGATACGCCTTCCGGGCCTTGACGTCGAACTTCAGCAGCCCGCACGTCATGCCCCAGTCGAAAAAGTGGCCAGTGATGAGACTCGTCCAGGTCAAGTTGCCCATACCGGGTTCGCGCTGTTGGTCTTGCAGCGAGATGAGGTAGTCTCTCACGACCTTCTTGCCTTTCATCAAAGGTAGAATCTCGTTTGTCTTGTCGTCGGCGGAATCGCAGCTCCCGAATTCAGCGGGCATGACGCGCTTGACGCCTGCTTTGAAGGCTGCATCAATCAGCTTCTTTTGCGAATCCACGTGGCTCCCCGCAATGGTGATGATCAAGGCGTCGATGTTTTTGCTGCGCAGCGCTTTGGCGACGGCATCGACGTCTAGGTCGTCCGGGACAGTGATGACGTTTGTTTTTGGGTAGACGGATTTGGAGGACTGGCGGTTGAGGACGTAGAGGGAGAATTCTGAGGCTTGGAGGGCGCGCAGGACGGGCGCGCCGAGCGTGCCTGTTCCGCCAATTAAGGCGACGTTGGTTATGGTCATGTTTGTGAGGTGTTGGCTGAATTGGGATGTAGTGATACTTGTTGTATTGTCAGATGTTCGGTGCTCAATGGCTCAGAGGTATGTACTGTACTCGTGGATTGACGTAGTCCGAATTCGGGGCGGCGGCTATTGACGCCTAGATACGGTACTTTTTTGAATTAGTCAAAGCAATGCTTATGTTTCTGCAGCACCATAGGGAATCAACGCCTTGCCCTACGTCCATGTATGGAGTGAAAGCTATTTTGACATGTACAGGGTTCCTGTGAGAATTTGAATTCAAGCTAGTACATATTGTCTCTCACGGCTGGAATTTTGTTACGGACAGATACGATCAAATCGACTACGAAACCTCTATTTTGTGTGTAATAAGAGACATGAAAATCATTCTTTGTAACAAGGGAAACCTTTGAGCCTAGCATGCAACCATACACGCCTCTGGATTTGTGTCAAGGCAAGGCGCAAAGCATGGGCTGTTGAGTAGCGTAGCAGATACGTGCAAGATGCCAGTAGATCTGGTAATGAGATATATCATCTGCCAAAGGACCCGTGATTCGCTACTCAGCTACTGTAGCAACGCAATAGCCCATGGGGCACTCTGTAGCCCCTAATTGAGCCACTAAAGCTCACGAGGACGGTTCAAGTCTAACGGTATGACTTCCCAACATGCGCCTCAACAATTTCTTTTCGACATTTGAATAAAACGTATCAGTCGCTTTGTGCATAGCAGCATCGCTATTGTGGTCTTTACTAGTGCATTTTCCGAGGGGGATAGAAAAAATGAGGACTTACTTCTATTACACATTAATTACTGTTACTAAAACTGGAGGGGCCTGGATTAGTGGTTGTCCTTTTGATTCCAGGTGTGCAATTTAGCACTGACCAGATTTGTTGCATGCCCCAGTCACGGTAAGTATTCGTCCGAACTCCCCACACGCTAGCAGTTGAGACAGTGGCCAGGGATAGAAGAGGAATCAATGGATGCATCGCACTAGGGTTGTTAGGCGAATGTTCAGGTTGGCCGTTCAGAAATCTTCGAAAGGTGTAAGATCAAATGTAGATCAGATCTTAGTCTACATCTTGATGCGCCAAAGTTGGTAAGAAGATCTACCCTGAACATCAATATAGGCCACAATCGAAATGATCTCGCAGAGCAATGAACGTTGCGTAGCGAAGGCTTCCTTGATGTGGGAGCAGATGTAGTAATATCTCTTCAATATCTGATATACCATTGTTTTAGTGCCAGCAACAAGCAGTCATCTCTTTTCTGTTTGAACCACCAGGAGAGCGGTGAGTCAAAGCCTCCAATCATCATACCTTGTCATCTTCGAACACGATACATATTCTTTTTACGGCATGTAAGCAGCTAATCAATACCTCACAGACCATGCACGGTTGAGGATATGTGGGGTACAGATAAGCAATACGCTTGCTGCTTATGTACAGAGTATTACGCCGAATTACATAAAGATGCTGAATACAGCCAGGGTCATCTCGAAAGCGTTCTTGTATTTATTGAAGAAGATTCGCGGAAATGTGTTACATGTCGAAATGATAGACGGTGGTAAAATGTGTCGACCATGGTTGGCCGGGGTGCATAGTACGACTAAGGATGTGTTGATGTCAGATGTAGATAGCAGGGTTAATAATACAAGAATGAAGTAGTCAAAGGTTAATCGAGGGTTGCCGCGATAGACGAAAAAGATTATGGGGAGGAGTCATGACGATAGAATCACAATGGGAGTAAGTAACAGGGAACGGACAATCGACAGGGGTGAATCTGCTTAGGGGTTTGACGGATTCCCTCAACATCGATAGTCATTTAACAAGTGCAATGCTAAAAAGAGAGAATTTTCAAGCAAGTACCATCCTCTGATGGGTTCAGTTATGGGTGATGGATCAACGTCACTATGGATTGAATTCTTCAAGTGATTCTATCAAATGAGCCTGAACGTGCAAACTGCAGATGCATTGGTCTTGACCCACAACCATGATGAAAAATTACGAGAAGCCGATCGGTTGGCTAAAAGGCAAAGGGACTATCGCAATAAAGAAATCAACAGATCGAGGGCCAACTGAAAAGTGGATCTCTTGTAAGTTGGAAATCGTGCCAAGCGTGTATAATAAAAACAGGCCGATTTGACCAGGGTTTGGAAAAGACCGAACCCCAGCAAATAGGTTAACCACGAACACATCGTCCAATTGAAAAATCTCTGCCTATTTCCATAAGAAACAGATAGACTGATGCATCGAACCATTGACCACCAAGACATCCTTCCGAACCATAGATACCATCCGTCCCCTACAAATCGCGACAAACGAGCGTACCTGCATCACCCTGCCTCTCGCCCCAACACAAACCCCGTACCGCGGAACCAAACATCACCTTGTAGGGGAAAAACGCAATAAGCCAATAATCGATGCACCGTCATCTCCATGCAATCCTTCGCGATCAAATGCGGTCCCCCACAACCCCCATCTACTCCCCCACCCGCGTGATGAACCCCTACCACCCTCCATATCCCTGGAGCCATCCCTGCCCCCAAACCACCCGGGACCATCCCATCCCCAACCACATCTGCCCAGCCCTTCGCGCCGCAAAATAGGTACTATGAAACATAACACCCATCTATTACACACCCTCTAGTTCATCCCCAACAAACCCACATCTACTTTCCGTCCTCACCAAAACTTACCTTCTCTTTCGCCTAAATCCCCATCGTTATAGCGATGGTTCCACCCAAAGAAGGTGCACGCCCATCCTCAGCTTCCGTTCTTCGCTAAAACCTACCCATCTTCCTTATCTATCTCGCGATCTTATAGCCATGATCCCCGCCCTCTTTTCGGAGGGATTATATACCCGTTTGCTCAAGCGTTCGTGCACTACCACCACTACCACTACATACTACCAACTTTGTGATGTCGCAAGGGAACAAACAGGGAAACGCTTGCAACTCCCCTCCCCTCACATATTCATTCATTGGTTGGCACTTCCGATTTGGCGTGATTCCGTCTTGCGACTCAGCCCAGCATCTATACGCGGTGCAACTGCCTCTTTCGCACAAGAAACAGAGTTTTGTATATATACCAGTGAAACACGAAACATATATAAGTCTTGAATCGATTAAAAAAAAGCGGATGCGGAGTTATGTTGTTTTGGCTTCGGTCCGAACAAGATACACACACACATGTACACGTACATACCCTGCGGCATCTAGCAAGCACCAAGGTACGGACGAGGCAAGGGGTGGGGAAACGTCGTGATGTGGAGGAGAGGGAATGACGACAACATTGGGAAGGGGGGGGGGGGGGCGCCCAAACATACGAATCAAGGCGCGTACGTCTCATACAGATGGCAAGAGAAAAAAATGGTACGTGGATGGTTTGCGTGGTGAGATGCAAACACGAGCGTCACGCCATCTTACGATTCCCACGCGTGCACCAAGGCAAGATGGACACACCACCACTACCGCCGACAGGCTAGCCCTACGGTACTGTGCGCACGGGCCATGTCCCGTCAGTATGTGGGACTGATTTTTTTTGTTTGCCCGGCAGTTTGGGGTTTGGGTGGAAGGGGATGACTTAGATATCTTGGCTGTGGGGGGGGGGGATAATGTAAGGTATATAGGGTCAGAAGGAGTGATCTGATGTTCGCTTTCGGGTTTTCTTTGGTTTCATCATTGAGATATATAAAGAGAGGACGTGTGGATTCGACAATTTTATCCTTTTGGAGGCGTGAAAACAAGCAACATACAGCACGATTACTGCTATTACTACTATTACCATACTGGGATAGACTTTTTTGGTTGCAACAATAACAACAACACACACAAGCCAGGAGAGGGGAAGCCATAAAGAGAAGGAGCAAACAGCAAAGTTTGAAATTTCCCCACAACATACACACATACTACCGAGATGGCGACATTTCAGAATCATCGGCCGATGCAGCATGTGGATCGGAGGGAACTGTATACCAGTCTCGAGGCACGGATACAATACCTGCATTCGTTTCTCGACTTTAGTTCACGTACGCTTACTCGCTTACCCAACAAAAAAAAGATACTTTTGGAAGCAAAGGCTAACTTTAAAAAAATGCAGGCGATATGGAAGCCTTGACAAGCGGGGCAAAGTATATCAAAGCGCTCATCCCCGCCGTCGTCAACATTGTGTACAAGAAGCTTCTGCAGTACGACATCACCGCACGGGCGTTTGAAACGCGATCGACATCGTACCAGGGGCGCGTCGACGTTAGCAACCTCGACGAGAACTCGCCGCAGATTCTGTACCGCAAAATGTTCCTGCGGGGCTACCTAAACAAGCTGTGCAGCGACCCGTCGACCATGGAGTTTTGGGAGTACCTGGACAAAGTGGGCATGATGCACGTGGGGCAAGGGCGGGCACATCCGCTGCACATCGAATACGTGCACATTGGCGTGACGCTGTCGTTTGTGCAGGACATCATTACCGAGGCGGTGCTGTCGCACCCACGGCTGAAGATGGAGCGCAAGATTGCGCTTGTCAAGGCGCTGAGCAAGGTGATTTGGATCCAGAACGACCTGTTTGCCAAGTGGTATGTTCGCGACGGCGACGAGTTTGCAGAGGAGCGATTGGTGCCCGAGGTTGAGCCTGAAGGCTATCTGCACGGCAAACCTGTCTTGCGCGAGGGCAGTAGTGAGGTTGAGAGTGAGATTGAGGAGGCCGATATGGCGGCGGGGTCGTGTCCGTTTAAGAATTTGGCAGGCAGACCGAGTCTGGGGAAGGATCATCAGGATGCGCAGTATGGGGAAATCGTGATAGATGCCGCAGAGGCGCCGAGGGCTGCAGCGTCAACGACATCACCAGGCATGAGGGGGTTTGTGCAGAGCGCCATGGCTCGAGCGGTAGGAAGCAGCGCTTAACGGGCGAGCGAGGGGTATGTGTGTGTGTGTGTGTGGATGTTCTTACTGTAGATACTAGTACTATGCAATTATAATGATATTATTTTGTTGTTGACTATTTTCAGTGGGGGAGGGGCGTGCGTGGTGTGGCGGTGTTGATTGGGAGCGGTTACCGTGACGGTCCATGTGCATGCACGGGTCAAACCGGAAGCGGAGAAACAGCCGCCGCCCCGAGAGCCGCGATCGGCTTGTCGAGATGGATGCCCTCGCCATCGCCGTGGCCCATGTCAGGCTGGCACGACAAATTTTGCCCAGCATACAGTCAGCCTTGTTTGGTGAAGATATATTTTGGGTACAAACTCTATATGCACGTGCTGCAATGTTCATGTCCATGGAGTATGCTGCAATTTTTGCATGATGATGCATAATGGAGAGGCGGGGCAGGACAATCACATGACGCGCGGCATTGTGGTGAGAGAGTATAGATGTGATGGTGTTGAGGGTGTTTCAGGCTAGGGCGGGCTGTTGTGTGGAGAGGACCAGTACCAGCGACCAGTACCAGCACCAGCACCAGCACCAGCACCAGCACCATGGAGCGGGCCTTGTATAGCCTTGTGTAGCAGGAGACTAGGTGTTCGAATAGACTACTACTACCAATACTATTGTATAGATGCTATAATAGGCCTCACCGGACACGGACTCAGCCTGCAGCCCAGGCACCATGCTGCGCCCTGTTTCTCGGGCAACTAAAGCAGATGTATTGTGTCCAAAACAGTGCACCCTGCCGATCCACTGACGATCCGACACTTCCGTCTACGGTGCATGGCAAGCAGAGAAGGCTGTCGGTAACGAGTTGATAAATGCATATCGAAAGCAGCAAAGGCACATGTCAGCGCATACTGCGATAAAGTCCCGCGGGCCATGACATGACGGTGCTGAGACGCAACTTGAGTCGTTGGACGTTTGCTGGCAGCGACTCAGCCGACGCGCGCCCTTGGCTCGGTGAGCGACTTGGCCGTGGATCCCTCCATCCATTTGGCCCATGTACTTAGTTATATCGGGGCGCGCGGACTGGGGGGGCGCAAAAGTAAATGCCTAGTGGGATGTGCAGCGGCCGCCAGTGAGGCAGCGGGGAGGCGTGGTCGAGTGGCCAGCATCGCCAGAGTTTTTACTTTGTTCTTTTTGCGCCTGCGTTTTGCTATCGCCGGATTGCCTGCTTTTCTGAGACCTCAGCAATTGCTACATCCGCGCCAGGCCCCAAGGGGGCGCCCAGACCGGGGTTCCCCTGCTAGCGCCGCTTGGTGCAGCCCATACCTGCGGAAACGCTCTCATTGCTTGCCCCGTCGTGTCTGCGTCCGTGTCTGCCTTCGCCGCCACTGCCCTCCTACCCCCCCAGACCTTCGTTGTCACTGTCGCCCTTCATCACAACATCATCGCCGCCTGGCACCTCAACACCCCCCCTCCCCACCACAACCCCCTTCTCGCCCTTTCTCTCCCCTTCCCCTCCCCACCTTCACCACCACCACCACGCCTCACCGCGGCTTCTTGTAGCACTCACCCTCTGTAATCCCCTCGACGTCTCCTGGATCTACGGCTTCTTGCCCGCCCCCCAGACTTGTCGTCGTGCTGGTGCGCCTGTTTTCTTCCTTATCAAGTGGCCCGATCAGCGCGCCTCTTGCCCTCCACGTCATCATCGCAACGGCTTAACTGCTGGTTGCTTCTCTTCCTGCACTCCTTCGCACACTGTTCAAATCCCCGTAACCCCTTTTTAATATCCCCCGTCTTTCCCGCGCAAGTGCTGCCTTCGACTTGCGCGCCCGCTGCTGCCATTGCTGCAACGTCATCTCGCAGCTCCACTAGCCCCCCCCGACTTCGATGCACACGCCCCTCACAACGACAGATGACCTCTGTTGCTTTTAGGCTCTCTACTCTCTCACAATGCAGTCCATGTTCCGCCTCCCATGGTGTAACGAGTCGCCTGGCGACAAAATCATGGAAAAGTCTGCCCTGCACAAGCAGAGGCCGCTGCCCGTCGTCGACATGCCAGCCTTTATGAGCAAGATCAAGCGGAAAAGGACAGACAGCCCTGAGCCTTCGCCCGCGCACCATGCGCATGTAGTAAAGAAGTGGAAAGATGCTCACGGTGACATGAAGCCGGCGGTGCAAAGTGCACCTCCTGCTGCCTCTGCTGCTTCTGCCCAAGTTCCCGCCGACGCCAGACCAAAGGCGCTGCCTGCAACCAAGGAGAGCAAGAGCAGGCCCTCAGCCCCTCAGCAACGGCCCGCTCAACCAAACTCCACCACCACGCCTGCATCTACTACTACTACTACCACCGCCATGGACTCTGGCTTAACCCCTGTGCAGCAAGCTATTGAGGCTCAAATCAACTACGAGATCTTGCTCAAGCACAACGAACTCCGTTTGATTGAACAGGAGCTAGCTAAATGCCAAGTCTCTCTGGAGCAACTCAGGCGCTGCTCCATCATTCCTTTCCCAGGCACCGAGGGTCTTGATGTCAATGTTAGCCTCGGCGTAGGTCCGTCTTTGCAGCCCAGTGCAGGCTACACTCAGCCCCAGTATGCTGCACCTTGGGGAGTCACTGACGGTCCCTACACTCGCCACTACGCAAAATGGCTCATCTCGGACGTCAAGTTTGATCCCGTCTCGGAGCGTGCACTCGCCCAGCAGGCTCAAGGTTACTTCGGCACTGGTGAGGGCAGGACGACGCGCGGCAGTTTTGCTGACTACGGCTCAGCTCACAGAGGCCGCACGTCGCGAACTTCGACTGGAATGTTGAAGCTCACCCCTCTTGGTGAAACTCCAGCACCAGCGCCAAAGATAGATCCTCTCTTGCACAAGCGATCTACAGACGGTCAGTGGGTGCGCCTCTACTGTGCTCAGTGCGGACATAGCAACTTTTCAAACACTCAGGGCTTCCTCAACCACTGCCGTATCAAGCATAACCAAGTCTTCAAGAGCCACGATGCTGCAGCTATTGCCTGCGGTGTACCTGTCGAGTCCAATGACGGGGCGAATCCTGTTACTGCGAGTGAACCTGCCAGCCTGCCTGCAGCAACACCAGCAGTGTCCTTTCCTACTCCAGCCACTTCTGGTATTGTTCACCCACTCGCATCTCAGGCCGTACCTGTTGCACACGCACCACAAGTTCACCGTCAATTGAATGTTCCATCGTCCAACGAGTCCAAATCTGCTCCGCCTCCAAGTTCCATCAAAACATCCTCGACCCCTTACCTGGCAGCTCGTTTCCAAAACAGCGGTGCTCAAGGTGACTTCAAGGAGATCCTGGAGACGGCCCGGTCCAAGATTGATCTGGATGCGATAGACACGTCGGATGATGACAGTGCAGACACTAGTGTTGCGCAGACCCCGGTAACAACCGTTGCTCCCCACCTAGCCCGTCTTCCTGCTAGTGCTCCTGCAAGCAAAACTCCAGCAAGGGCTGGCAGTAAGAAAGGTTCTCATCCAAGCCATGCGCGCCTTCCCATGTCTCTCCCATCTCCCATCAAGCCCCAAGGACACGATGACATGCCACGCTCCCCTGTAGACCTCAGCCCTCATACAGTTGAGTCTAATCCGGGTCTAGTCAGCGATCATGATGACGATGATGACGACGATGCGGATGATGCGCACAGCCAACCTGACCTTGCTCTTGACACTCATGTCATGGTCGAGGACTCGAGCGACGTTGAAGGTGTGCAAGAACGTAGGGGCTCTCGGCAAGGATTGCACGGGTGTTTTGAAAAGGGCGAGGGTAGTCGTGAGCATTAAGCAGAACAAGCGAGTTAGGTCCGGCTTGTCCTGTTAATGTTTCCATGTCCATCACCCCCTTTCGCCCAAATAATGCCCATGTCCTTGAACGATGTTATTCTTCTCTTATTCCTCTTTTTCTTCTTCATTATACACGGGTGCCAGCAATGGACAGGGAGGTCCGCTGGTCAGGACAGTGGAATTGTTCTGCTTTTAGTCTTTTTTTGTATTGCTCTGTCTTTTTATGTTTTGTTCTCATGATTCAACAAAATCAGTCAGACATCTCATCTCACGCGCGCCTCCCGAGGTGTTGAGTTAAGGCGCTGGAAACGTCGTGTATTATCATCCCCTGTATGGAACAATTGGTGTTCTTTTGGTTGGAAACTTGCTGTTGCTGGGGTGGTTTAGATGGATTTCGGGGTGCTGGTACACTTTTGTTTTTTTGCTTTTGTGCTCCCCAAATACACGGTTGACTTTCGAACGGGTCAGCAAAAGTCTGCGAGAGTGAAATCTCGCTTGCCCTGTATATATTTTAATCTCATGACGCTCTGCACTTTGGATATGTGTTTTCATAGGATTTTTGTGACTTGAGTGGTTTAGATGTTAGTGTTGTTGTTGGTGTGGAGAGATGACATATGTTTTCCAGAGATGATGCCACGATATGCACTTGTACATTATATCAAAACACTTCCCCCATAACGCCTCGCTTTCCAAAAAACTGCCCTTGGTGGCTAACCATCCTGCTGTTTAAACAAACCTCACATTCCCACCTTTTCATCCCATGAACTCGAGCGTCTGTTTCTTCGTCAGTCGTTGAAACTCCCTCTTAACACCAAACCTCCCCGTCGCATACACCCCCGCCCCGTCTCACACCCCCATATCGCAAATTAAAGAAAACCCAAGGGGAAAAAAAAGAAAGGGCAAAAACTCACAGCCATAACCACACATGCAATACTAACATACGGACTCAAGCGCTCCCCAACCCTCGCCGCCTTCCACAACGGCGACACAATCCAGTTTTCCTTGTTGCGATCGATTATACCGGGAAACACAGAGTGCGCGTAGGTCGAGGTGCAGATTGTGAGGAGAATGACGAGCAGGAGGGATTGGAAGTTGAAGAGGGCCGTCTGTTCTATGTTAGTACGAGGCTTGGGAAGATAGGATGGGGAGAGGAGGTACCATTATCGATCTTGTTGCAGGAGTAGTATCTGTGGCGAGAGGTGAAAGGAAAAGCGTAAGGGAGAAGAAGCTCTAGAGAGAGAGAGAGAGAGAGAGAGAAATAGAGAAAGAGAGGTGTGTCCGGGGGATGGCAAGTGTAGAAGTGAGTGAGTTGTAGGTACTTTACTTGTGTCGCATGTTTAACATGTGGATGGGTGGTTTTCCCGCGGCGGAAGGAGGAGGCGGAGGGGAGGCCAGTGCGCGTGCTGGACCCGCCCTGCCGCCCTTTCGATCGTCATTGCAGGGCTTGGTGCTTTTGAGATTCCACGACTGACAAAACGACAAGGTGGTGATAGCGTACACAAACTATCACTTGAACGCGGGGGAGAAAAGATACATAGCGCTATCCCGACGCGCCAGATACGAAACCTATCCGTCCATCAACCGCTGCCGCCGTCGTAGTTGTCTCTTCGACACCGCGCGCGCACGCTCTCTCTCTCTCGCCGCAAACATGACGGAACCGCGTATGCGCCTGCGCCAAAAAGGCCAGCAATTCCCCACGCAAGACTGTTCGCCTCTCCCTCCCTCCCCCAAAAAAGCCCAACCCTAACAAAAAAAACAGTAGAAGCCTTCCTCCTCGCCTTCGGCGACAACGACTACCCCCTCCCGGAAACCGTCCGCGTCCTCGACGAAATAATAACAGACTACATCATCGAAACCTGCCACGAAGCCGCGTCGGTGGCGCACCACGCGCGGCGCGCAAAGATCAAGCTCGACGATTTCAAGTTTATGCTACGCCGCGACACGGGGAAGCTGGGGAGGGTGAGCGAGATGCTGGAGACGGATAAGGAGTTGAAGAGGAAGAGGAAGGCGTTTGATACGGATGAAGGGGCCGTGCTGGCGGATAGGGAGAGGGGTGGGGAGAGAGCGGGGGAAGGGGCAGGCAAGGAGGATGGCGGAGGGTTGGATGGCGGCAAGGCAAGGGGGAAGGAGGAGGAGGAGAGGAGGAGGAAGAAGAAGAAGAAGAGGAGGGAGGAAGAAGGAGGAGGGGGGAAGGTTGCGTGAGGAGATTGACTATTGTAAAAGAGTGGGAGGGAGGGAAGGGAGATTTGTGTATTATGGGAAATGGCATGGGTGGTTAGTATATGGAAATAAGGATACCCCAAAGAAGGATGAAATTGAATCATTACCAATTCATGATTTGCTTAGTGTTTGGAAATATGCCCAGCTCATTAGGGATATCTTCTGCTCTCTTCTCCCATGTATGACAGCTGGACAGACACGTATTTTTAGCAGGTCAAAATATCTGGCATTCCATGTTCTAACATACGCCTCAGCGTAGTCATGATTCTAACCACCGCAGCCGCGTCAAACAAAACTACTAGGTACACAGCGCTTTTACTTAGGCAAATGCTTTTTTTCTTGTTGAACAGGAAGCAAGCAAGCCTGCAGCTCGACCACCTCAGTATCTTCATCGTCGTCATCATCATTTGTCATGGCTGTCATTCATGCCTTCAATCCACGAAAGTTTCCACGTTAGAAAGATCCGCCCGCATTCCCGATGCTGAATCTATCAACCATTTAGAAACGGGGCATTCCCACGCCCTTTGTTGCTAGAGGCTTGACACTCCGTCTAAAATAACGCGTTAGCCAAACGCCAAACTCCTTGCAATGTATCCCTTTTTTAGGCACGCTCATGCCTCTTGTTCCCTCTGCTGCCTGCCCTTGCCTCCGCCTCGTCGGTCACCTCCCTTGCCCCTGTTTTCGCCATCTTTCTTGCCTTCGCCGCCAAGAACGTCACCACCACCCATGGTCAGCGCTGCTGTTGCCAGGCGGTTGGAGAGATCGATTTGTGTGCGGATTGTGTTTGCGAGGTATGATACCACAAGGACATCCTGGATGTGTGCGTTGCTGCGACATGTTAGCAAAGCCAGATATCATCAAGAAAAAAACAAGTCTCAACATACAAATCCCGCTCAATGTCAGCAGGCTCAACCTTGGGTGCTAAGCTGAGTGCGTTCATCAGGAACTGGCCTAGTGCAGATGAAGGCTCGGCCTCTTCGTCCAGAACATTGTTAACGTAGGTGGACACGCGCTCAAGCATGTCAAGAACATGTTGGATGGCACGCTCCAATGAATCCAAGTCGGTCATGACCTCCTGTGATCGGTCCTCGCTGTCCTTTGCGGATGAGATGAGCTCCAGACCTGACCTTTCGGCCTCGCCGTACTTGATCTCGTGGGGCACTGGGATGAACAGGCAAGAGTCGGCCGCGCGCTCGGCAGTGACGCCAATGGGTGCGGAGATGTATGTCTTGGACTCAATATCCTGACCGGGAACAGTCGAAACAGTCAGATGGACAGCGGGGTGTGGCCATGTTCCGTCGCCCTGCTGGCTGTAGAAGTTCTGAATGAGGGCGGAGAAGGTGTTGAGGTCGCTGCTGGTTGCGTACCAGCCGACAAGGACTTCGCGGGGGTTGGCGCGGAGGTGAAGAGCAAGCATTTGCTTTTGGTAGTCCATGTCGACCTCGACCTGCTCGGCCGTCTCGGTGTGGGGGACAGCATAGCAGTTGCGGATCTCAATCTCAGTGCCGTCTTCGCTGCGGGTGCCGAGGAGGGTACCAATGACGCGTTCCTGGTCGGCGGGGCGGCGGAGGGCGTGGTCGAGGATGGAGAAGACGGCCTGTTCACAGCGGGTCAGAGAGCGAAGCTGGCGGCCTCTAACTGCAGTGGTCGCATACCTGGGGCTGGATGGCGACGTTCAGCGGGGCAGTCGATGGCTGGGCACCCAGAGGCGCAGGGCCGAGGGGACGCGCGAGATGGAGGAAAGAGTCGTTCTCGGCCATGATAGCGATTGTCGTCTGGGCGGCAGTGATCGTGAGCGTGGGCGTGGTGTTGAGGCGCTGGCGGCTATCAAAGATGACAATATGGTTGGTGGGGCACGTCGATATTCTTCACGAAATCTGGGCAGGTGCGGCAGTTCGCTTGCACGGGCCATGTCGATATATTTTCTGGTGGGACCCTTGAACTACAGGCGCATCCAACTGACGCGCTATAACGACTCGGAAAATTTAATTGCTGCGCGACACCAGGGCTACTTCAGGGATACGAAGCAGCTGTTCATGTTGGAATCTTTCCAGGCGCCGGGAATTCTGCTATTCGTCTCAATAACAGCCAGGCGCATTCAAGAAGCGCGCGCATAGCGACAATGGCGCCCATCAGAGGCCGCGGTGGTTTCCGGGGTAGGGGACGAGGCAGAGGTGGCGCAAGAGGAAGAGGAAGAGGTGGTGGAAGAGGCGGGTTCGCTGCTGCAAGGACCGCCGACGAGGTTGAAGATTCGTGAGTACGGATATTAGTTACAGAGAGGGTCGTCTGCATGCTAACTGTCCAATGAAGCAATGTCAACATACGTGCACCGTCCGACTCTGAACACAGCGAATCTGAAGGCTCCGACAGTGGTGCTTCCGAAGACGATGACGAAGAGGAGGAAGAGGCTCAACCAGCCGCCAACGCCTACGCAGCCCTCCTCCAATCTTTCTCCGCCCGCGATACTGGCTCAGACGAACCCCGGAAAAAGAGGCGGAAGCTTGAGCACGATCACGAACCAGAACAGGCCGCTACCAAAGACACAGAACAATTGGAAGACGCTGAAGACAATGCGACTGACCGTGAAGACGAAGCAGAGCAAGGCGATTCCGACGATGACCAAGCAGACGGAGATGATACCAAGGAACAGGAGCTGGAAAAGGCCTACGAGAAACATTTTGCAAATCCAGACGAGAACGAATTGGCAGCACGGCTGAAACGGATAGCTGCAAATCAATGGTCATCGCACAAGCTGCGCACGACATCAGGCAGCGCAAAGGGCTTTGGCATTCTCCAAGTCCCGAGCGATGAGGTCCAGCCACCCTCAAGGAGAGTGAAGAGCACTCGTGACGTACAATTGAAGGCCCGGCTGGTGGAGAATGCGGACAAGAAAGTCGGAGACTTTGACCCAGTCGAACAAACTATTGCGCCGTCCCTTTTCGGTTATCAAGATTTACTGTTCGGCGCGCGAACAGTTCAAAACGCCAATCGCCTCCGGGACATCACCTGTCTGCATGCGCTAAATCATATTCTCATGACGCGCGATCGTGTACTGAAGAATAACGCAAAGCTGGCAGCTGCAAGTGACGACGACGATGCCGAATATCGCGACCAGGGCTTTACGCGCCCCAAGATATTGTTCCTTCTTGAGACCAAGCAGGCTTGTGTACGCATCTTGGATTCCATCACTAAAATCTACGACTTTGAACAGCAAGAAAACAAGAAGCGATTTCTCGACAGCTTTTCACTTCCAGAAGACAAGTTCTCGGACGACAAGCCTGCAGATTTCCGCCAACTATTCGAAGGCAATGACGAAAACGAGTTCCGTATCGGCGTCAAGCTGACACGCAAGACACTGAAGTTGTTCTCGACTTTCTACAACTCCGACATCATCTTTGCTTCTACCCTCGGTCTGCGCCGAGCAATCGAGTCTGGCGATCCCAAGAAGCGAGATTACGACTTCCTATCATCCATCGAGATGGTAATTATGGAGCAAGCGGATGCTACCCTAATGCAAAACTGGGACCATACAGAGTTTGTTTTCGAGCACTTGAATCTTCAGCCAAAGGATTCTCACGGCTGCGACTTTTCACGCGTGCGCTCGTGGTACCTGGACGGACACGCACCGCACATTCGACAGACCATTGTGCTCTCGGCGTTCCTGACGCCAAAGATCAACACGCTGTACAACAAGCACATGCGCAATGTAGCCGGGCGCTTAAAATACACTGCCGATAACACAGACGGTCTCATAGAAACAATGTCGTACGGCGTGAAGCAGACGTTCCTGCGCTTCGACTCACCATCCCATCTTACTGATCCAGACGCACGCTTCAAATATTTCAACACATCCATCTTGCCATCGATTAACCGCATGCCGCGGCCGCCAGAGGGTGGTTTGGGTGTTCTAGTCTTCATTCCATCCTACCTGGACTTTGTCCGCGTGCGCAACTCGCTCGTCGACTCGGACTTTTCATATGCCTCCATCAGCGAATATACCGATGTGACCGACGTGCGCAAAGCCCGCTCACACTTTATGAATGGAAAGCACTCACTGTTGCTGTACACGGGCCGTGCGCACCATTTCCACCGCTACAAGATTCGAGGTGTCAAGCGCGTCGTGTTCTACGGTGTGCCGGAGAACCCGATATTCTATGACGAAGTGGTAGGCTTCATCGGCAAGACGTTGGAACGTGCCGAAATTAGCAGAGAAGAAGCCAGTGTCAGAGTGTGCTTCTCAAAATGGGAAAAGATGGAGCTGGAAAGGATTGTTGGCACAAAGAGAGTGGGCAAGATGGTTGCGGACAGGGGTGATGTGTTTGACTTTGTATGAACATGTATGATCTAAAATAGAAGGGGAACACCTGGAATTCGCTCACATGGTAACAACATTCTTATTGATTGGATGTAGTGAGTCTACGCTGAATTTACGATTTCTTCATCGCACTCACTACCACTTCTTGCGCATATGCTACCTATCTGAATGAACCCAAGACACGTGCTTCACCTGAGCCTGACACATCGGTGGACACATAATGAAAGTTCCGTTTGATCCTGATCTCAAAATCACCTAGTTGTTTGCAGCTGCTGAAGCGTGACTGCCACAATGGTCATTCGCTCCTGCTTTACCTTCACTTTCACCAACATAGGGTCTGTGAGTACTTAAGTAGATCCATCTTTCCGCCAACCATTGCTCTGCGCACGAGTCAACTGTCAAGTATCAGCAGAAAAAGTCCACCATCTTCCTTCAAGTCCAAGATGAAGCTCCAGTTCATCTTCGTTGGATTGATAGCCACTCTCGCTAGCGCTCGTGTTGTCGTGTCTCCGAGCCCATCACCTGAAAACGTCACTCATGTCAACGTCACCCTTGCTGATGTTGCGTCTATTGACTCAGACTCTTCCTCTACAGCTTATACTTTTGCTGAACCAACCAAGTTCGAAAAGTCTGCTGAAATCGGACGTACGCTCGATGCGGCCATGAAGTCCAAAGACAGCATCGCCCGATGGTTCTTCAAGGACTTTCCCAACTTTCAAGAGACATGCCAGAGTCCCTTCGACGGTGATGGGCGGGAAGAGCTAGCGAGGTGGGGCTTCGACGACAGCGAGAAGTTGAGGAAAGAGGTTGAAAAGGAGTGCGACTTCGACGCGTATCATGGTATCAAGCCTGCTTTTGATGAGGTAGGCTTGGACACCAAGGCAGAGAAAGATGGTGGACCGAACAAGTGTTTCAAGATCAACCATCGTGATGGTTCTGCTATCAAAAGACTCCCGGATGGGTCTCTCCCTCTCGAATCAAAACAGTACTATGATGTGTGCGGTAAGGAGTATAGGGTAGGTGTTTGTAGACTACAATACTCGACCATACTGTTGATGACTAAGACTTCGTGCAGGCAACAGGTGCTACATACGAGTTCGCTGTCAATCCGAATGGACTCGTCGCTCTCATGAACATCATGAGCTTGAGTTTCTGCGCCGAAAAGTTCACCTGGTTTCGGAAGCCACTCCCCGAAGAGCTGCCCCATATCGGCACACCCTCAGATATAGCATGGGCTGTCTGGAACAGAGCTGGTGCTTCCAACATTGCCGATGTCAAGTACCTCCTTGTGACACAGATTATGAACCCAACTTCTCGAGATATCATCAGAACAGCGCTTGGAACTCTGCAGCCTCCTCATAGTGAAACCCAAGTCTGGCCGGGTAGTGACTTCACCATAGATACGGTTGGAGGCAGAGCAATCTTGGGTTAGTAGTCTATATAGCACTAAGACGATTGGCAGTTGGGGTTTGATGCTGACTTGATGCACTAGGGTCGCCGATTGGACGATGGGCTGGATACTTCCTCTTACAGCACAAGAAGCAACTCGGTGGCAATCGATTCATTTCAAAGGTCAGAGCCTTTCGGCCCAACACCGGTTCTCTCCCGTATCTCGTCTTCTATGTAGATCCCACGCCAGCTGGACCTGGTGCAGCTGCAGAAGTAGTGCCTCATGAACTAGCAGGACTGGACGGTGGCCTTGAGAGAATCGGAGAGCCCGATGGTACGAATTCATCACATATTGTAGAAAGGATTGCTGATGGGAAGCACTTTGTGCGAGAGCATATTCTCCATGCCGGGACTTAGGCAACGAAGTCCGAGGAAGATGTCATGAACTTCGGTTTCTGATGCGACAAGACAATACAACGGACTTCAAGATTTGTCCGAAGGGGGAATACATATTCTAGAAATCATGGTGGCTGGGCTGCTATCTAAAAGCAATCACCAATACTGACTAAGACATGCATGAGGCTTTTAACTAGGCCAAAATGTACTCACTACCTGTATATGTGTTTATCTGCTCGTATTATGCATATCGCGATGGCCGGAGCGGATGACTGTATCAAGCTAAGTGCAGTCCCACGGCACGAACGGGCGCAGGTCGCGGTGAACATGATCTCATGGAAGCCAGTGTCCTGCAAGGGCTGAGGTTATGCGGGGATATCGTCATGAAAAACCGTGAATAGCTGGGAGAGAAATCAAGGCACATGATGCCGCCAACGCGATCTAGTCATGTCCACGTCCCCCACACAGCATTGTACCTGCGTCGCCTGCCCACCCAGCATCGTGATCTAGACGTATGTGTATGTCAAAAGGCGAATCGTGCCGGGATAAACGGCAGAACGTGAGCGGTCCGTAGGACTTGGCAATATTTGCACGGTGGTTCCGGCTCCTTCCTTCGCGGGGTATCGTGACGTTCTGTTGCCAACCAAACTTAGCCACCAACTCCACGACCATACCACTCACACGCTGCCAACAGCGACCCTTGACAAGACCTTTTTTTTGCAATCCCCATTTTTGACTCCACGCAGATGAAAACGAGGGGCCGGGGCTGATTTGCCGAGTGTGCGGTGAAGGGCCACGTCGGAGTGGCTGGGGCGCTTTCTTTCACGCCAGACTCCACCCGCAAGATAGGCGCGAAACACGTCTCGCCAAGCATACGCCTCATCCCTTCTTGGCCATGTCCAATGGCTCGCGCCCGTCCGGAATACTCATGGTTCCAGTGTAGCGCTACACTGCGCTGACACGGCCAAGTACCTCAATGAGCGGATCGTGGCGGTGTGCCGAGCCCTAGACAAGCTTTTCTGTCCTCCGTTTCTGGGCGTCGATATGGCTGCGAGCAGGAAACCCGAGTCGAGCCTGTCGCTCTTATTTTAGCTACGTGGTACCCATGCCCTTGTGAGCTACACTACATACCTGCCTTCCTTTTTGACACCCCGGAACTTGGATTACTGTACTTCTCTGCATTGCTATCGTTACCTGCACGCCTGTGCCAGGTCCGGTTCTTGCGCACACACGCCAACATGTTGCGATTCGACATTATTCTCAAGTTGGCTTTGGTACCGTCGATACTCTACCTACTCATATCTGTGGTTTCGGTGGCTTTGACAACGCACTACTGGATCCTAACTGACTGGATCGTACCGCGAGGCGTTCTCGTTACCACCTCCGAATTCGATGAGCGAACGAGGCAGTTTGTGACGGATGCGACAATTGTGTATTTTACCGACGCAGATACCGACGCGACAATTGTATCGGGATGCCTAAACTTGGCCGCCGCCGTTATCGCCATTATCGCGTGGAGTACCTTGCGAAAGCCAGGAATGGACGCCTTGGTCAACTCGGTTGGTATCTCAGATCTTACACGGAAGCAGCAGAAATCTAACTTTCACGTCTAGACTGTGCGCCGTTTCTGGATACTCAGTCTTGTTTTCATGTCCCTTGCTGGAGCGGTCATGGCCATTGTATCGCTCGCACTGCACTACACGAAACTGGGTAACGATCAATGGGGATGCACTCAGGAGCGACTGATGATGAGTGGAAAAATGAATACAAACGTCTATTGCACCCGAGAAATGGCCGCATGCCGATTTCAACCCGGATTTGTCACTGGTCAGGATAAGCAGAATGCTAGCGTTGCTTGCAACGAAGCTGTAAGTTCCTTATCATCACATGTTGCGAAATGCTTTTTTACTAACATGAGAGCAGACTGTAGTCAAGTGGATGCAAATCATCTTGGTGCTTCTTGGGCTTACTGTACTATCCATGTTCTCTCTCCAGGCTTATCTGCGCCGGACCAGCAGGGAGACTAGACTAATGGGACAAGGAGCGCTCACAGAAAAGATTTGAAGCGAGCAGATTTCCCGGTCTATAGACGATACATGAGTTCCCACGCAGTCAACGAATTTCCTTGCACCACATCATTCTTGGCGTTTGTTTTTCTTTCCTTAGCATGCATATGCATTGCACGACACTGCATCAACTCTGGGCGTTGGCATCCCCCCCTTCCCTCACAAGTGGGCCACTTGCGATACACGACGTAACGAATTTTTTTAAAGCGTAACAATAATGACATGATGAAAAGCGTGTGCTGCGATGGAAGTTGGCAGAAGCTACATGCCTGCTACTTCTTACTTTCTGGTTCTAAACAAACTTTAATTGAACAAACTAGACGTTTAGCCCTCTTTCCTCCCACACCCCTGCAACAGTGTAGCCCCATGTCAGAAATCATGCTGGAAATCCTGACAATGCCATGATACTTCCACATCGCATACCTACATTTCCCCACACGCACACGCACACGCGCAACGTAGATCCCGCCTGCGCCCATCAATCCCCGACGTCAATCCCCAGCTGTGGCGTTCCGCACACATACGCACATACGTAGATGGCGAAATCCACAATTCTCCATCTCTCTGCTGTTTTTTCTGCCTTGGAAAAAATCCCCATCCCAACTACCTTGCTGCAGCTCACTAAACGCTAAAGCGGTTTAACGGGCGATTTCTTTTTTTTGGTGGGGGGTTTCCGCGGCGAGGAGGAAAAGGCACGCTTGGGCGTAGTGGCTGGTGGCTTTTCCACTTGCCTGCTCACGCAACCCCCCCCCCCCCCCCAAAAGGGGGGTTTCGGAGAGGGTGGCTTGGCAGACGTCATGGGGGGGACGTCATGAGGGTTTGGTGAAATGGAAGTGGGAGTGGAAGTGGAAGGCTAGCAGATATAGGTTTAGGGATTTTGGGAAGAGTGGAGTTATGCGGTGGTAGCCGGGTAAGACGGAGGGTGGTAGTCGGTTTCAGGAATGGGTGAGTTTGGAAGGATTTGGGTGGTCGTTTTAGAGTAGGGATATTGAGATGGTGCTTTGAGGATTGGGTGGTATTGGGGTTTTCTGTATTTGGAGTAGGCGTGTTGAATGTTTATGGTGGTACATGAGACTGGATAAATAGTAGTAGGTAGGGATTTCGATCCATACGTGGAAATGTCTTGAATAACTTTATGGCGCTTGATGCGGAGGGACTAACAGTGCAAGTATTGGCCTGCTGCCTTTGGTATCTTGAGTGATTTACAGTAGGATCGTGTGGAAGCTGAACACATCAGTACAACAATTGCAGCTGTGTGAGTTATTATGCATGTTTACCGTGACATCTCCAGAAACGTCTTGGAAGATGGCTTTGTACGACCGATGTGAAGCATTCATCCAATATCCAAGGCTCATTCGGATATAATCACAATCGGTGATGAGTGATGAGTGATGGGTCAACAGCATCCGGGTGTGAATGATGAATGTGAGAGAGCTCAGTGATGTTAGCTGTATCGTGACTGCCATTCACACATAGACCTCCCGGCTGTTTGTTTACACACTGGGCCCGCTCCTGCATTTCACCAGGAAAACACCTTGCGCACTGTGTGCCACCACGTTTCAATCTTCAACCTCCCAGAAACTCCATTTCTGTTCAACTTTACGAAATGGCGCCCAGCACTGCCTACCCAGGCTTATACGCTGAAGTCACTGTTGACGGTTGCCGGCTGACAGAGTACGACGACGGCGAAGATGCACGCTCTAAAACCAAAAGAGTCTACATCCAGTCAGAAGAAGGTGAGCAATTTGGCGTTCAGTACTTTATCCCCCCCAGCTTGTTCATGGAGTATGGCATCAAAGCAGAGGTCAGCATCGACGGTGTAATCATGCGCAAGTACATCCATGACAACTACGTCGGCCGTCTTCATGGGGTATCAAGGTATGCTTGTGCCAGCAGTGCCAATATTGGAGATCTCTGCGTCGGGCAGCGATTTCGGTTTGCCACTCTAGACACACGTAAGTTTGATTCCTCCATCTTCTCAAACCAATCTAATGAGATTCATATAGACGATGAGACGGGGACTGTAAACACAGCGGTGCAGAACCAACTAGCGGCCACGGGTGAGATATCAGTATCTTTCTATCGCATCACCAACATCCGTGTCTCGAGCGCAGGCAAGAAGGCACCAACTATACAGGAGTATGACAAGGTTCCGGAAAAGGCTATGAAAGGCTCTGCAGTTTCGCTCAAGACACAGTACGACTCCAAGGGATTTCTTACTTTGTCTAATCTGCTAACTGATTGGATAGACTCGACCCCTTCGAACGCATTGCACCAGTTACGTGGGTCGAAGCCGACCATGTCGATGGAGATCGCCCATTCGCTGTTATTCAATTCAAATACCGCTCTGCAGGTACGTGACACTGTTTCAAACAAAAAAGACAAAGCCTAACGAAATCACATTGTAGCTGCTCTCCGGTCACTTCATATACTCCCTCCGCTTCCGAATTCTGTGTCCCGAGAGAAGGGCACAGCCAGTCAGCTTTCATTGGCGAAGAAGCCTCAGTTGCTGGATATTTATCAGGTAAAAAAACTCCTATGTCATCAGAAATTGCATATCCATGACTAACCAGTTGTATGCAGCCCGGGAAGGAAGTGGTGCCGGTAACGAAACGCCAACGTACCGAGAATGAAGAGGGCGCTGAGGTCAAGCTAGTCGGGGAAAGGAGTGCAAAGCGTCGATGCCTGCCCACCGATAAAGATGAGATTATTGTACTGGAGTGAAAGCGCTTTCTATGGGAACATCACGCTCGTATGTGGAGTGAAGAAGGAGGGTTGCACTGTGTTCTGCTGCTATGAACACGTGATGCCAATGACTGAGAGAACATGTCTTTGATGCTAGGCATGTTCTGAGTAATATGTTTCCTCAAGTATTTACAACCAGAATGGAAGATCTCAGATGACCAAAAGGTTCATGTGTCTCTACAAGTGATTGCGATCGTTCGTAGTATGAGGAGCACACACTGCAATTGAGAGAATCCGCAACGTCCCACGGATTCGATGAAATAATCGCCAAAACAATTCGGGCTAACGGCAGATGAGATTTTGGCAAGTAACATAGATAGGTGAGGATATTGTCAGAAATAGCAACCCCTCCACCTCAGCTTTGCGCTACGAGATCAGCTAAGACACCCTCAAATTATCTTGATCATGTTTTCGTCCTGCATACCAAAAGAGACAGTACTTTGGCCTGCCTGAGTGCTATTCGCATGAAAGAGAATGGAAAGCATAACCAGTTGCTTTTTCACTGCTACTAACTGTACGTCTCGAAATTGATAGGCTATCTCTCATCGTCGCATACCTCAGCTTGACCTGCCAGCTTGATAGTTTATCAGCGACAAACTTTCATCATCAGTCAGATATCTTGTTACGAGTTAAGGCGCCTTGAGGGACATTGCATAGGCAGGAGGGATAGCCGGTTCATACTCGCGATGGGAGCTAGAGAATCTGGTTTGGTGATGATGAGTCAATCTCTTGGATCCTTGGTTGAGGGAGTGGGCTTTTTATGCATAATTTGGTTGCTGAATAACAATATTACTTGCACTTCGCACTAACTTCAGGATTGGAGTTGGTAATGAGGAGTGCTGACTGGTCTCTTCAAGCAATTATTTTGATTGGGTTTGAAAGAACTACACTCGAGCAGACTGTTTGGAAATGTGATGCTACTTGATTTGCTGACAAAAAGTAAGAGCAAAGCGTAATGTCGTAAAGAAGCCGTTGGTAAACCACATGAAAATGGGATGTAGGAAAGCAGTGCCCTCGGTCCGCCATCATCATGCCACGGTACCCGATTATGCTCTACGTAAGATCAATAATCTTGGGGCCATTTTTGTTGACAGTGATGTTGGGTCGTGAGCGCTTTGATGCCGATACGAACGATACCTCATCGTCGTCCTCGTTACCTTCAAGAATAGCCGGGTACTCGCGTTTGACGCCTGACTCATTCTTCACGTTTGTCAGGAGACTGTCCTGTTTCGGACCTGGTACGTTGACTGTATATGCCTCTTTGTCTTTGACTTGAGTGGGCAGAGGAGACGGGCTCCGCGGGATGATGAGTAGTGACTGGAGGGCAGCTACAGCTTGTTAGCCACACTGTGCACTAAAAATGAGGCTGTATTTTTAGCAATGCATACCTCTCGAGCGGTACTTGAAGTTGAAGGTGGCAAAGGGCAGGTGCTGCGGATTGATATAATCGTAGTCTGTATGGCTCCAGGTCATCTGGGGCTCCTTGACTTCCATGCCTAGCCTCGATCAAGAATCAGTATTTCTTTCTATGAAGACCAAAGGGACTTACCCTGCGCAGTGTGTTAAGGCCTGCCCTTTCAATGCCTTTTCAGGAATCGTGCCGACACTAGTTTGCTTCTTATCGACATGTCTATTTCTGGAGGGCACTTCTCGGAGGTTCTTGATGTAGTATGCTTTGAGGGTGATGAAACCGATCGATTTTAGGTCCTTGATGAACCCCTCTCCTAAATTATGATCATCTGAATCTTCTAAAACATATTTATTAGCAGATGCAGCTCAACGAGCGGCAGGTATCTCACCAATCTGAAGCTCAGAAAAGCAAAACTTTCGCAATGTGCGTTGTCCGCCCGCGATATTTGTTACGGTGTCCTTGAACTCTCGCCTCACGCTCGCTATTGCTTTCTGGTATTGGTGGTTACCGATGATGCGCGAACGAACGCGGTCGCCATCTATATAGAGCTTGACGACCATAGCGTGGGGAGGAAATGGTTGATGGACTTCAACGTGAACTGCAAACTCCGCGGCAGATTTTGCTTCGATGTACTTAGTGACTGTAGTGGCGGTTGTCTTGCCATCGTCCTCGTCAAACTCTTGTAGTCGTGCCCTGTTGCATTCGACGTGAACTTCAATTTTGGGGTTTTCTAGTGTAATAGCCATGGCTTTATGTAGAAACGACGCACTTGTACGGCAGAGTTAGATGAAGAAAGACAGTGAGGTATAAAGCGAAATAAAGTGGATGTGGTGATATTGCATGGGTGTGTTACAGCAGTGACGAGAGTGAGTGTGAGGTGAAGATGAGAACGTGTAACTGCTAAGTCGTGACTGCCATTCTTAAGCTGCACGGCAATGCACCACTGCTGCACTTGCTTACATTGGATACAGAGTCTAGCTGCAAATACAAGTAACCGACACCACCACGGAAGCCATCAGAGATGTCTATTAGCAAACGTGCACTTAGAACTATTCCCCGTACCTCATTACAGGGTAACACACAAAACCAACGCTTTCACAGCAAGGAGACAGCGATTTCATATATACGAATATTCTATTTACTCATCAATACTACAGGTAGAAACCACCTGCGCAAAAACACCTCCGTAACCATGGTCCTATTCCAATCGAAAGCCTTGATGCCCAGAAGCAAGAAAAACCAAACAAAGGAGAGAACGCAGCCCGTCGCAAAGAGGCCCAGATGTTGAGGGGTACATGCCGGGTAATACTAACAAAACATTGCGCCGAAGAGGCGAGAAAAACACTACTAAGAAATAAAATGTCGAGCCCTCCAAAGAGATCACATCCAGTACGCCTTATGCATCAAAAGCCCATGTGCCAGATGCCTATTGTACGTAAATAGAGATTGAAGGAAACGCTATGCAGTCGTTATCATGGAAATATACCTCCATACAATGGTATCATTTGCTGATGTGGATCAGACCGTGAGTTTTGGAAGATCGCAATGTAATAATGCCGAGATGGATGGTAGAAAGTGGCTCGGTGGTCAAAGGCCACGCGGATGGAAATGGAGATGGGCAGTACCAGTAGATGCTGTCATTTGAGATAACATCAACCGGGCTGACCATCTACCATGCACCTATGCTGGCGGAGGAGCCACTTCCATAGTTCCCGCTCAGTAATTGCTGGCGAATCGACATGGCATCGGCAGGCCCAGCTGTGGTTGCATTGCCGGTCTCGGCACCCATCCAGCCAAGACCCCCGCGCAGCTCATTGACAGCCTCTTGCATCTTTCCACCTGAGACCTCATTGTGCTTGGCAATCTTCTGATCCCATCCGCCATACTGGAGTTGTATTCCACCTGCTCTCTTTGCTGCCTCCCGAATGACTATAGCCCATGCTTTAGCCATCTCTTCATATGCCTCCTGCTTGTGTCGGTTGTGCTGGTAGGTATCCCAGTTGGGAAGACGGTGGAGAATTTCGGTGGCTCCATCCAGAAAGGCGAGTGAGGTGGCCGGTTGTTGTTCGTTTGGTGGGAGAAAGTGAGGTGTGAAGTCCTTGAGAGAGTCCAGTAGATCGTCAAGCTGTTGGCGGACCCTGTTGTATGCGTAATCTGATGATGCACGGTTGCCAAACGGAAATGCCCCCTGGAATGCCGCCTCATATTTGGACAAAACTTCCATGGCTGATTGGATACTGGGGCGAGGTGCTGTGGTGACGACTTCGTTACCAATGTCTGGGTGGCGCTGACAAATGGACTGCAGCAGGTTCCGCATCTCGTCGGCGCTTAGTGTCTCGAGGAGGCGTGGCAGAGGGAGTGGTCGACCGGAAACATTGGTTCGCATACGTTTCATGCCTCGTGGCGCAGGTCGGGGAAGAATGGCAGGAGAAGTAGATGGGGATGCACTCATGCGGTCGTCATCGCCAGCACTTCCCTCATCGTCGGCTTTCCGCTTGCGGCCCGTCATGGCAGTGGAGGATGGCATGACTGGAGAGCAGTGTCTGAGGTTAGTTGCTGTTCCGTAGTTGATATTTTGGTAGCAGCGAGTGGACATACTGTTGCGAGTGGGCGAGCGGCGGTTGTTGTTGTTCAAGAGGTGAGGGGGCGTGAAAGCCTGATATTGTACGTTCATGGCGACAACGAACGGCCCGCAAACGCTGTGAAAATCGCAGATATGCTTTACGGGATACCGGTCGGCGGGTGGTGATGCGAAGAGGGTGGCGCGGGAGGTGATGTTCTGGCTGCGTGGGCGGTTTGGGCGGTGTCGGGTGCGTTGTTGTTGGTGGTGGAGACAAGCAGAGCCATGCCCAGCAGAACCCAAGATGGTACGTGCTGGGAGACCGACCGTGCACCACGTCACGTGTTGTCCAGTGTAAAAGCCTCTGCTATGTGCATCCTTGGAACCCCTCGTGTTGCACGGGCTTTATCTCCGGACTAATTCGATTCGAATACCATCATCGCTACGGCAATGTCACACGATATCACGTCTTTAGTTGCATAATAGGCTGGAAATCATGTATCCGTGGGGGATCATCTGCCACGGCACTAGGTCCGCGGCATCTGATCTAGTCAATTTCTATCCAGGACACACCTTGTGGAGTCTCTCCTTTTGAAGGACCAAGCGGTGAATGCCCCTTTTGCGCACCTGAAAAAACTTGCTTGTTCGTTTTGTGGCGCTTTCGTTTAGACGTCATACAACGGAACGCCATCTACATACCGCACTTACCTGCTAAATAACGAAAACATTTGTAGAGACTCTCAACAATACCATGTTATACAAGACGCCGACGCAAAAAATCAAGTTAGAGGTAAAGAGACTGGGCAGCGACAAGATCCCGACGAACGAGCTCCAGCGCTGCAGTAAACTTTTGCTCGAGCTCTTCACTGCCCATAACTTTGGCGGCCTGGGCTATCTGCCGGAGCAATTCCTCCAGTCGCCTGAAAAGTCGAATCAGACTGCCTTCGTAGACGTCGGTCATTTTGCTGAAACACATTAGCTATGGATCAAGAACAAGCGGCTGGGCGAACATACCAAATCTCCGAGAAAGTAGCACCCTTTGACCAGGCAAACACGACCTCCATGAGCTCGTATTTGAACGATTTGAGGTATTCCTCTTCGTTGAGCGTCAGTTTGCTCTCTTGCGATATCTTGGCGATGACTCTGGCTTGCTGCTGGATCTCGCGGTAAGGCTTGGCGAGTTCTTCTTTTAGCGCTGGCACTTCCTGTGTCTTCTCCTCAAAGATGAAACAACTCAGACAGGCGGCGCATTGCTCAGGTGTCAGCTCATTGAAGAAACGGTTGAAGAGCAGTTCGCTGAGAACTAGTTCGTCGCCCGTGCTGATTTCGCAGGCAACGCGAGCTTTCAGCTGGACGACATCGGCATCGTCGATGAAGCCTAGTCGACGCAGCACACGTTTCCTACTTTTCAGCTCATCAAGCTGAATAACGGACAATGCGTTGGCGATCTCCTTTTTGGTGTTCTTGATCTTTTCACCAATGGCAATTTTCTTTGCGTACTGACTGTAAAGTTCAGGTAATCTAGGCGAGTTATGAAGGGGATTCGACAGGAGACGAGATTCCAGTACTTCAATTTTCTATGTCAAGTTAGTCATGCATTATAGCAGCAGCCCGCGGACAATTACCCTTAGAAGCCTCTTGAAGCTTTCGTCCTTGATATTCATGTTCTCAATAGGATCCAAAATGGCAATACCATCTGGGAAACGCTTCTTGACTTCGCTGAGCGCCTTGCGAACATTGTTCCTCTGTTCCGTTGACTTGAGATCATTCGGCAAGAATACGCGGAGGTGGCCAATTGACTCAATGCAGTTCAGGACTACGGGTACTACTTCCATCTTGCCCTTGTCGCCAGGCGCAGGTGGCCGGACACCAGGGGGCAAGCCATCGTTAACTACCGGGGCAAATTTGTTATCGCTGCCTACGGCGAGCAGAACGTCGACAATATACGACTCTTGAGGTGGTAGGACTTCGCCTTTGTTTGCTCTGCGAGGGGCAAATGCTACGACTGCACCCCATCCAAAATCGTGGTCTTTGTAGCTGACCTTGACGAGCCGGCCACCCTGCAGGAACGGCAGGCAGTAGTTGGGGTGCATAATGACGTCGCGCATATCCTTGGTATGAGTGTCCAGTTGCTGTCGCAGATTGTAGTAGTCTTTGACAGCGGCTTCATCAATGATGGTCGTGTTTAGCTTTTCTTGCTCTAGTTCCTCAAGTTCTATAGCTGTCAGTAAATAAACAGGACTGATGGAGAGCAGGACTTACGTTTTTCTAAATTGGAAACACCAGCTGTGCTCTGGAATTGATAGAAGCACCTTTCCAGCATGAACTCAGGAGAGATGCCTTCCACTCGCATCAAGTTCAGAATCATATTGTAGCCAAGATGGAAAGCCGAGTTCAAATTGTCCTGCTGACCGCGTACAATTTCCTTGGCTACAGCAGGCTCCATCTGCTCGTCAATCATCATGATGACAATACCACGGTCGTCAAGACCACGACGACCGGCTCGGCCAGACATTTGAATAAACTCCGAAGGCGTAACCCATCTTTGGGACACTCCGTCAAACTTGCGTACACTTGTGAATACAACAGTCTTGGCCGGCATGTTGAGTCCGATGGAGAACGTCTCTGTCGCGAAGAGTACTTTGATCAAGCCCTCCTGAAACAAGATTTCGATGGTTTCCTTGAGAATGGGAAGTAATCCAGAATGATGAACGCCAACACCTCTCCGAAGAAGAGGAAGAATATTCTGGATCTGAGGTAATTGCCGATCTTCCTCCGAAAGCATCTCAATGGCGCTGTTGAACACTTTTGTGACCATGGCCTTCTCGGATTCGTCGTTGAACGCAAGGGAGCTCATGGCTAGCGCGTAGTTTTCACACTCGCGCTTACTGAAACTGAATACAATGACGGGATTGTAGCTCTTAACCATGATCATCTTGACAATCTTGTAAATGTCTGTCTGCTCTCTGTTGCCGCCTGTATTGGTCTTCTTGTCTTTGCCTTTGCCCTTGCGCTTGGCCATAAAGTCCTTCGCGTCAGTTCCAGCCTTATCGGCGATGGATGACATAGCTTTTTGGAAGTTCTCTTCGCGGAACATGCCCTTCTCATCAACCACCAGATGTATACCATCGGCGCCGGCAGGGAAGAAATAGTGTTGAAGCGGGGTTGGACGGAAATCGGTGTAAA